TTAAATATGTTTGCCGAGAAACTTATATTTATAAAGTTTGAAATCTCAACGAATGTTAAATAAAATCATACATTTGCATGGAAATCCTGTCGCTAGTAGTGATTAAAAACTATAATATAGTAATCTTCTTTATATCTGCTCGTTGTAACACGCAAGTGCAAGTTATTCCCTTTGCCCTAAGGTGACCAGACGTCCCGTATTAGCCGGGTAGTCCCGTATTTTGAGTCCATATCTCGTATCCTGACATAAACTAGCTACTCATTTTTCAAATAATATTGTACATGGTATTTCAAAACGTATTTTTAAGCAAATAACAATAAGGAAACGAGGTGACTTACCAAATTGTTCAATTTACTTCATACAGATATGTCACATTCCACATATCTGCTACCCTGGCACTCAGACATCCTTCCCGTTTCTGAAGAGAGACGTATTTTATTGAAAAAATCCTTATATACCTTACTGTTCGTTTGAGCTTTAGTTCATATTGTTCGGAATATCGTAGAGAATTGAACTTTCCTCCATTATGTAGATTTCAGGTGAAACCGTTTTCTTATTTTTTGAGAAATTTGATTCGAATTTTTTGCAAAATATTCCAATTTTGGTTTTCATAACCTCAAAACATTGATTTTTTAATATCATCATACGATATTCAGAAACTTACGTGTTATCATATGAAATTAACAATGAAATCTATCTATAATCTACTTTTTAACGTCAATGTCGTCGAGAGAAGTATAAAATTAATGGTGTTATAGCAGCACTTACTTTCTCGCATTATTTCCGGCACATTATACAGGCAATTTCTAAATTTAAATTCGCATTATTTCTAAATTTGCAATTTTCGAAAAAAATTGGAGAGTTGAACGAAAATGAGAGCCGCGCCATTATTTTAACCGCTCCCTTCTTCTGTCAGTGTAAAACGTTTGAAGTGATTTTTGAGAAAATGTGGTTTTATAAAATACATTAATTTCAAGCCCATATTACGTGAAAACAATTGTTTTCTAAAAAAATTGTTGATGATCTTTTGATAATGAACATCATTTTTTGGGGAACAGACTGCCTCAGGCAAAAACCTCAATCTTTAATTTTATAGTTTTGAAATAACTTTTAGCCATTTTCGAAAATACGGAGAGTTTGTCGAAAATGGCACCAGAACCATAATTTGTACCTTCCCGTGATACATACAAGAACATTTAAAGAAAAACGTTGGAACTGTTTTAGAGGGAAAAAATAAAAATTGCCAATACTTAGCGCAAAATTACTCCAAAATCACTCATATTTTCGAAAATTTTTGGTAACCAAAGGCTGGCCATAAGAGTTTTTCTGCTGAATTTGATCGTTTTCCAGCACATTAGTACATAACTCTCTCTTCCTACGAAGTAAGTGTGAAAAACTACAAATTACATTTGTGCATTTTTTGAAAAATTAAAACAATACATCTAAATAAAGTTCACGATATGTTCTTCAGTGCATTTTGGATTCTTCCTACAAAAATTTGGGGGGGGGGATGTGGAGCGGTTTTTGAGAAAATATCAATATTGATATTGCCCATATTCCACTCAGAATTGCCCCAAAACGACTAAAAATCTCAAAAAACGCACATTGCGTTAATAAAATAAATTGTGGAGAACAAATTTCATACAAAGAAATAATTGCTCTTTTCAATAATATTTCAATATTGCAGTTGTACAAAGACGCCGGAAAAAATCGAACTTTTGTAACTTCGGAAAATTCAAAGTTAACAGTAAAAGCGGGATCTGTGCAACCTTAATAAATGCCCTCTATTATAACAAAGAAAGTTAAAGAAAAATTAAAGCTATTTTTGAGAAAATTTTGAAAATGTTAATGAGGCTTCATGAAAAGTATTCTCAAAATTTAAAAAAAATATTTTCAAAATAGCATATCAGGCCAGATTGGTCGGAAAGCTTAATCAATCCTTCACTTTCTGACATTTTTTAAATGTAGAATTTTGCAAAATTTCTACAATTTTTCATAAAATTAAAACGGAAATTGAACACGTATTAAAATTTATTACTAAATCACAAGAAAATCAAACAGAGAAAATTCAGTGTCAAGAAATTAAAAAATCAAAAGAATCTAATAAATGAAAAAAATCTGTAAAACCTGTTTATGAATATTTCAACGTAGCCCTATTTTGTACAATTGTATTGCATTGTTAACTAGTAGTGCTACAGATACGCACAGACTTCCCCGTATTAGTTTCCTATTTCTCTAAGTCTTGGCTAGCTATACAAACTTACCGCATAACTCCTGCTAGCTGCCACCTATCGCCGCCCAAAAAAATTTTTTTTGAAATTTTTCTTAATTTTTCAGTTTTTTAATTGTAGAACGGAAATATTATTTTAAGAATATTAAAGAACATTAAAACCCTGTCATTAATGTCAAATTTGCTTTGAATAACTTGGAGCCGTTTCAAAGAAGGCGCTAAAGCGCTACACTAAATTCAAAATTTGAAGCTCATTTTCACAGAAAGTTTTGAGTTTTCAAATTATGTTTACAACTTGCTGAAAAGTGCATATTAACGGGATGGGAGATCTGTCAACCAATCATTCAACAAACCATTTATTTGTGTAATTTTTAAAAACAAACAAAAAATACCCCGGTATGAACTTTACGTCGCAGGTAGTGTAATTAGCACTACCTGTTCGAAATACGTGAAGAAAACATTTGAAGCCGTTTTCGAGGAAATGGCGTTTGAAAGTTTCTTAAAATGCGGAATGTTGAGCAAGATTTCACAGAAAACGGTTGAGTTTTTGAGAAACTGCAATAAGACATTATTTAAAACACATCTACTCATAAATACAATAATGTGAACACATTGCCGTTTATGTAAGTATTAACACCGTGAGAGGCAGATCGAAAAATACATTTTTGCAATTTTTGAAAAACAAAAGAATCGAGCAATATGACGTTTGTCACCTTATAGAGTATATTTAGAACCATCCCTATCAAAAGTTTAAAGAAAAAATTGGAAGTCGTTTTTGAGAAAACCATATTTTTGTAATTTTTTAAAATTGCTATAATTGCTCGCAATATTGCGTGAAAACTAATGAAATTTTAAAAGAAAAATGTACGTTACATTAATAAAAGAACTCACTACGGAGAACAAATTTTATTTCAAGGAAAAATATCCACTTCAATTTTGTATTTGAAGGAAGGCGCAGGCAAAATTTTGAAATTTTTGTAAATGGAAATTTAACCCTGAAAATCGGACCCATGTCATTGAAAAATGTCACACATTACGACAGATTTTCTTGAAAAATAATTTGGGTTCTAAGGCTCCCAGATTACCCTTCAGCTTTGCCACTGGTAATAAAAAAATCGCAATAAAAGTTCGTACAAAATTATTGAACTCAATTTTTCTTTCAAATTATATTTAAATTATGTTTTCATGGGAGAAAACGTAATTGGGCTCATTTCAATTGAGGTTTGTGGATGGAGAATTTTTCTCTTGGCCGTTAGTTTCCTCGTGAACAGTTGCATATTTCATTATGTTCAAGCACAAATTATGCAAAAACTACTCGTTTCAAAAAAAATGGTATTTTTAAATGAGTACAGAATTTAAGGAAGAAATCTCAATCGTCAATTTTTACTTTCAAAGCCTGTATTCAAAGAAACAAAAAAAACTTATGGTACTGAAACATTATATACTTTCTCGCCCTTATTTCAAAATGATTCTCAAGGAACGAATTTCATTAGGAGGAAAAATATCTATCTTTAATATTTTAGTTTGTAGAAAAACTCCGAAAAAATGTACACGTTTTGCAATTTTCGAAAAATCAGGGTTTTTTAACGAACATAAGACCTGCACTATTCTCTTAAACGCCACTATTCAACAACAAAATTTAAACAAAAACGATGGAGCAATAAGTACCCTCCAAAACTAAATATCTGTTTCAAATTCAAGGGGCCGCGACATCAGAACGTTTGGAGAATATTAATTTTGGAGAAAATTGAATGAATTGTTTAGCCGCTAACGTTGTTCACAAACGGACAGACGGACCGACAGACAGACAGACAGACAGACAGACAGACAGATACAGACGAACGGACGATTATTGGGTATCAAGAACCTACAAAACATGGATTCTAGCTACCCTACGTGTTAGAGATTCACCTCCCCTCCAAATTTAGCTACTGAATTTATCCCCTTTTTTATTACGAGGGTCCTGTAATGGGAATTTTTCTGCTGAAAGTTCTTTGTGTAGAATTACATAACTTTTTTCTCTACTTCATAGCGAGAACACAATAAAATAAACAGAAATTTACAAGTATAACAATAGATAAAAAGGACTCTTCTCTATTGTCTACCATCCCTTTAGTTTAATTCACTCTGTCCCTTCGGTAATCAATAATTTGTACATTAAGGGTAATAGAATGCATCGCACTGTACACATACTTTTGTTAGCCGCCACCGCCCTTAACTGCACAATATTGTACTCTACATTCGCAATCTTCGTAACCCTCATACGCATAACTCGTGTGCTTCCGAGAAGGACTGCTAGCACGTCTCCATGTAAATTGTTCCAGTCAACAATGCTCATATCCAGAAAGCTTAATTTTCCTTATTCATAAATTGAAACACCTGTCCTTTCTTTTCTGCATTCAAGTCTTTTACTGATAGCTCTCCGTGCAGGTTGCTTTGTGCTCTTGAAAGGAAGCGACCCTAACACGCTTCCCTGGAGACACCGGGCGTCACATGAACATCATTGGATTTGTCATATCAAAAAAAAATTATCACTATTGTAATTTTTGTCAGAGTTCAAGGACAATAATTTCTACACAATTTGTCAATAAATCCTTGTATAATGTTATGGTGCAATTTGTTCCGAATTATTCGGTCTAGTATTAAAATGTTTGCCAATTGTAAATGGTATTCTTCCCTACATTGATGGTTAAGCCAACATTAAAATGTGAATTAAATAAGTTAATTTGCTTTTGTAATAAAACCTTTTTCAAGCAGACTTGGGCGGACAATGGATACTCGTCCTTTGTGGCTTTTGTTGGCTGCCCTGCTGGCGAAGTCCAATGGAGAAGAAGCGAACCCTGCCTTCATTATCACACCCAGCCTGTCGACGCTGAAAGAGGTGGTGAAGGAGGTGCCTGGAGCCGAATGTCGTCGTCAGGTCGCTGTGGTTCTGGAGGGCATTCGGAATCTCACCGACTGGGCGCTTCAGAGTAAGATAGATCAGCATCTTAAGGTTAAGAAGACTTTCCAGTCTAGCTACCTTAAGCAGCTACTTTGTATTTCAATATGAACCTTCCTTTATCATTTTGTTAGCAACGTAATTCGAGTAATTGTAGTTTTTCTCGTTCTGGATCTCCTGCTTTCTTACTGTCTTCCTCTCTGTACAAACAATTTCTCACCCGGTAGTTTGCAGAGCGCTGAGAGACATGGACGAGTGCGTGACAGTGGAGGTGCACACCTCCATCTAACCCCCTCCGCTGTGTTAATTTGCAGTGTGTAGCTGTATGTTCTGTGGAGAACGGATGGCCGAGGTGCGCTGGTGGGTTGGATGGTCAAGACGCGACGGTCAAGGTGCCGTCAGAGTTACTAAGCGTCAACTTGCGCACGCTGGGATACTTGGTCCAGTGCGGGGTGGTGGAGGCAGAGGTGCATACTACCATTTAACACCCTCCATTCTGTTATTCTGTAGTGGGTGTGGGTCTGTGCGCAGTGGCAGATGCGACGGCCAAGGTGCCCTCGGGGCTGCTGCGCGGCAACCTGCGCGCGCTGGGAGACATGGACGAGTGCGTGGCGGTGGAAGCGGAGGTGTACAACACCACCTTGCACGGCAAGTACTGTCTTGCCAGCTTCCATATGGACTCGGACAGCGTGTCTGTCGCTCGTCTTCTCGACATCGCCACGGCTGGGCGCCGACACCTCGAGTTCCGCCACCGACAGTATGATGTGGTAATTTAGCTCCACTAAAATTCGTAACCAATGCATATTTAGATAAGGAAGAGTCAGAATATTTGCTCAGGCACACAAGTAACACATGCAGAACCCATCATTTCCAACACTATATTTTATTTTAATGCTCTCATTAGTTTTATCTTTCTTAAAACCCGATTATCCCAATTATAGTAATAATAATCCAATAATATCTGTACATGTTCAGTGTCTCTCTTGAAGAGCAGGTGAAGTCAAAGAAGAAGAGAAGAACGTAAGAAGTTTTTTCTTTGACTTGCGGCCATATCAGTAGTTTTCCCCATGCCTGTTCATACTCAGTAATAATTGCAGAGTGTGCAGTTTCCTTTCAACTCCTAATGTTTGGAAACTACGATTTATTTAACACTGTGTCATATATAACACTTATATTTTTCAATGATTTTCACGAAACTCATTTGTTTGAGAAACTAAGTAGTCTTTCTCAGATATCTCTTCTGAGGAGCTCATTTCTTTCCTGATCACAGTAATAAACTGAATCAGCCGAGCAATCAACCCTCATGAACTCGCTCCTCACGATACGAGTATGAACCGATTTCCCCACCGTATTCCAACAAATATTTACTTATTTTCTCTACATTTACTTCCTAGTAAAAGTAAAAGGCACACCAAATGAAGTAATGCATTTGCTCGATAGTAAATGCTTTTACCATTTATTTCACACTTGAAGTAAAATCTAGGATTTAATTTACACTACCTCATATTTTTTACCCTCCCTTGATACATACATGGAGAAAATGTGAAGAAATAATTTGGAGCTGTTTTTGAGAAAAAAATTCAAAAGATTAAAAATTGCCTTATCGAGGAAAATTACTACTTTTTTCGAAAAATTAAACATTATTTCAAGGTGTGTCTTTAAAAAACAGATTTCATTAAGGAGAACAGCTTAATCTTCAATATTTTACTTGAAGGAAGACATCTAAAAAATTGCACTTTTTCAATTTTCTAAAAATCAGGAATTTAAACGAATATGGGACCTGCACCACGCTCTCACTTTTATGCTATCCGAGGATAACATTTAATAAAAAATGTGGAGCCATTTTTGAGGAAATTGTGAAAATGTTTATAAAGGTTTTTGTAAAATACCTTCAAAAATTAAAATATAGTTTTGAAACTCCCTCAGCCGTTTGTTGAGGTCGATCGGGTAATATCAATCTTGAAGAAAATCGGCTTAGACGGGTCTTGTAATGACCAGAGACTTTTTGACCAGTTGGCTTTTAGCCCCTAAATTAAGACGTTTCGCCGTCAAGCGATTGTGAAGGATCCACTAAAAAAAGATTCCATCTTTACCGCGTGGTAGAGGAAGAAATTTTCCATATGTAAGACTTACGTTGTCAGAACCCGAAGTTAAGAGATTTTCTGTTGGAATTTCGCAGTTTCCCGGGTCACGATTGCTATTACATTCTTAAGGGCGAGAAAGTTAAAATATATCAAATCATAGTTCAATGTGTTCTCTACGTTCTTGCCTTATATGTTTGTATATTACTTTCTCGTGTTCATATATATGCACGTAATTCATTACGTAGAGCTGGGGAAAATGGATATCCGTAGCTAAAGGGAAATATACAGTTTTGGAGAATTTACTCTATAGATCTTTTTCAAAACATCCGTTCGTGCACCCGTCGGTGCGCTAATACCTCTCTTAGATTGTAACATTGTAGTCTCACTGAGTGCACGTAATAAAGAGAAAGTACTGTAATGCTGCAGTGACGAATTTGCTAAAAACAAAAATTGGTAATGGAAGGCCTTTGTAACGAATAAAAAGATAAATGTTGCTTCTACATATTAGGTGTAGCTTCCATTACAAAAAATACCTCAGTTTCAGTGTTTGGGTTCATGACGAATAGTAGATCCAGATTTTTTGAAAAAAAAAATTGTCTGCGAAAACATTGAGTTTACATTTTATTTCGGAAATCCAGATCGGCTGCCGCATCACTGCAGACACAGGCGCAACGTCTGCCAACGGGGCTGTGCGTAGCGTCGTTTCTCCGCGTATTCACTGACACTGTCGAGTGACACAATGCATTTTTGTTCTAAATTATAACTACGGTATTCATAAGTGAAACATAGAAGGCTGAACACGAACCAAGGTTTATGCGAATTAACAAACTTCCTGAAATGTTGGAATTTTATTTGCATATCTTCAGTGGGCACGAATATCTTGTGATTTAGGGAGTCATAAACGTATTAAAAATTAGTAATATTGATGAACTATTTTCATTAAAAAAAGAATTCAGAAAAATTAAAGGTATTATAGGTATTTTATTAAACCCATAAGACTTTGATGAAGTGTGATACATGTTGCCTTATTTTAAGATAACATATCAGTTACAAATAATAGTGAAAATATACTCGTATGTGCTGCTGTATGTATACTAAAAATAAGATTATAAATTTAAAGAATACGTAATTACTATATTAAGCAATAATACTTCTTGAATTCACGAGAACACAATTAAGAAAATGCAAATGTGGGAACTAAATTGTCTAGACATTTGATTGGAAGTATAATGCTCCGAATATCTTGTTAGAACGAGAAATATCAAAAGGAGAAGGACAATGTGGTGCACGGCAATTACGCTTGCCAACCAAAAATGTAGTTGGATGTGCCCTAGAAGACAAATCTGCTCATGTGTATCGCTGCTTAGGAGCTTTAAAGACACAGGCAGTCAGTCCATTTTCCTATAGCGAGCACGCACTATACAAAGCTAAACAGGAATCTTTGCCCGCTGAATTATTTTACCCAGATCCAGGTAAAGTTCTGGCTACATTGAGAAGGTGTTCGGCTGATAGAGCAGTTATTCATTATATAGCATATGATTCTTTCTGAGTTCATATTTTTTCGAACTACCAAATAAGCTTATGTAAAAAGTCCATTGGTGAACCATATGCCTACTTATGTCCAGATGCAACAGGAAATGTTGCGAAAAAAATGTTGCGAAAAATTGCCATGTAGATGATTCTTATTCGCAATATCTATTTGTGAATTTAGCCTTGATGCATTCGCAGTTTGACAATTTCTGTAACCGAAATGGTCTCAGATGTCCAAAGAAATGTCACTATATCACCATGAATAAAAAATGGGTAATCTTTGAAGCTCGCTTTCCAAAGAAAGTAGTGAGTACACTATTAACTATATACAGTCATTGTAATTTGTTCTTAAATATAAGACGATACAAAAGCTAACATATTCGCCACACACTTACTTGTTCTCAGGTTTGCGATTATTCTAAGACACTACTAAATGTTTGTTCCTGGTCTTTCTGAGGATTCATTACGAATGAACTGTATGCAGATACCTGCATGAATGGTTTATGTCTCATTTTCGTTAAAAACACATATTTTTCGAATGTTAAAAACTTCAAATAATTGTTCGGAGTCTTAAAATTTGTACAATAATATAACTATGAAGATGAAACGTTTTTTCTTAAAGAAATGTATTCATCAAGAACAGATATTTAAATAAGATCATGTTGAAGAAGAGAGACAATTCTGGGATTCGAACACGGATAATTGAAACAAATTGCTCATTTGTCAAGGAAGATTTGTTTAGGAAGAACGGTATTTTTACCTTGCGCAGGGCCACAATAAGAGGGACCACTCTGAGATTCAACCCAACTGATTAATACTAACCGCTTCGTAGTACGTTTCTTATTAGAGATTATATTTCGCACTTGATTACTGCAAATTTTGGCGCTGAGTATGAATTGTTAAGGCTGATAGTTTAGCAAGTACGGTCTTCTTAAGAGGAATACTTCTTGGATTCGAACCTGTGTATTGTGTAACGTACCTATATGTAACTAACCGGTCCGCGGCAAATTTTTATTACAAATTATATTTAGGACTTGTTAACGGCAATAGTTTTTCGTAGAGTGTGAATTGTGAAGGCTAAGGGTTTAGAACGACGTCTTTTCCTTGGACAGGGCGTTGCAAAGAGCTATATTTCTGGAATTCGAACCCGGGTAAATGAAACTAACCTGTGCACGGCTACTTTTGTTTATAATTATATTTAACACTTGTTTACCACAATTTTTGGCGTAGAGTATGAAAGCATTGCTAAGACCGCCATTTTACAAAGTACTTTTTTTTTAACTTCCGCAGGGCGTTTGTAAAAGGGAAAATTCAAGGATTCGAACCCGCGTAATCGGTCTGTGGCAATTTTGTTTTTTACTAATTATTATTAGTATTTATTTACGGGCAAATAGTCACGTAGAGTATGCATTGTTATGCCTGACGGCTTAAGAGGAACGGGCTTGTTAATTTGCGCAATGATTTTGTAAGAGGGCTATTCTGAATTCGAGCCCGGGTAATTAAATCTAGCCGACCCGCAGCATCTGTTTTTATTACAGATTATATTAAGTACTTGTTTACGGAAAATTTCGGTTTTGAGAATCAATGTTTCAGGCTAAACGTTTAGGGGGAACGGTGTCTTGCCTTGGGCGAGGTGCTTCCGAAACGTACACATGTGGCTTTTGCAACCAAGTCATGAAAACTCGTAAGCCTGAGAAAATATTTTATTATAATTACAATTGTTATATTAAGCACCGCGAATATTGAGGTAGAGTATGCATCGTTATGCCTCATTATTTACTAGGAACAGACATCTTAATGTGGCCAGGCACTCGTTAGACAAAATCGGATATTCGAACCCTGGTAATTGAAGCTAACCGGTTAGCAGTACACTTGCTTCTTACAAATTATATTTAGTACTTTTTTGAGTTATTTTTTGTGTAGATAATGAAATGTTATGGCTGTTGGTTTAGGATGTACGGTTTCTTTAACTTGCGCAGGACATCCCATAGAAGTTCAATCTTGGATTCGAATCCATGTAACTTAAATTAACCGGTTCGCGGAAATTTTTTTTGTTACCGATATCATTTAGTACTTTATTGCAATAAAAATTGATGTAGAGTATGAATTGTTTTGTTAAGGCCTTACCTTGGAGGGAACTTTTGGGATTCGTATCCGCGTAATTAAATCCAACCAATCCAATTCGCACTTAGCAATTTTTTCTTACAGTTTATATTAAGCACACGTTTCTTATTAAAGATTATATTTAGCACTTCTTTACCACAAATTTTGGTGTATTAATATTTATTGCAGTATTAAATATTATTGCTGATGGTTTAGGATGACTGAGCTTCTGAACTTGCGCAACACATGTAAGAGGGCGAAATCTGGGTTCGAAACATGGTAATATTATTTAACCGGTCGCGGCAAATTTGATTGTTACAGATTGTATTTAATACTTGATTGCATCAAATTTTGGTGTAGAGTATAAATTGTTTTGTGGATGGTTTAGGAAGAACGGGCTTCTTCACATATTCTGAGCCCTCATAGGAGGGCGAAATGTGAGATTCTAACTCGGCTAATGTAATCTAACCGGTCCGCGGCTAATTTTTTGTCAAAAATTATATTTAGTACTTGTTTGCATCAAATTTTAGCGTAGAGTATGAATTGTTATGGCTGATAGTTTAGGAGGAACGGGCTTCTTAACTTTCACAGAGCTCATGTATGAGGGCGAAATCTAGGATTCGAAACTGGATAATGTACTCTTACCGGTCCGCGGCAGATTTTCTTGTTACAGAATTTCTTGAAAACTTGTTTGCGTCAAATTTAACGTAGAATATGAATTGCTATGGCTGATAGTTTAAAAGGAACGGGCTTCTTAACTTTCGGACTTCTTCACGTGTTTAGGGCTCTCGTAGGAACGCGAAATCTGGGATTCGAACCCCAATAATATAGTTTAACCGATCCGAAGAAAATTATTTTTTACGGATTGTAATTAGTACTTGTTTCCGTCAAAGTTTGGTGTAGATTATGTGTTGTTATTGCTGCATGTTCAGGAGGTATGGTCTTCTTTACTTGCGGAGGACATTCCTTAGAGGGACATTGCGGGATTCGAACCCGCGTATTTGAAATTAACCGGTCCGCGGCAAACTTTTTTATTACAGTTTATGTTTAACACTTAATTACGGCAAATTCTGGCGTAGAGTAAAAATTTTAATGGCTTATGGTTCAGGAGGAACGTACGTATTTACATGTGCAGAGCTCTTGTAAGTGGGTAAACTCTGAGATTCGAACCCGGGTAGTTGAGTCGAATCGGTCCAAGGAAAAAGTTTTGTTTAGAGAGTATGTTTAGCACTGGTTTACGGCAAATTTTGGCGAAGAGTATGAATTGTTACGGCTGATGAATTACAG